CCTGGTGCACTGGGAAGACCCAGAGGGATCGGGTGGAGAGGGAGGTGGGAGGAGGGATTGGGATGGGGAATACATGTATATCCGTGGCTGATTCATGTCAATGTATGACAAAAACCACTACAATATTGTAAAGTAATTAGCCTCCAACTAATAAAAAAAAAAAAAAGAAATATAACTACAAAAAAAAAAGAACTGCCTTCCAATGCAGGGGACGCAAGTTCAGTCCCTGATCAGGGAACTAGGATTCTGATTGCCTTGGGGCAAGCCAGCGAACCACAACTACTGAACCTTTGTGCTAGAAAGCCTGTGCTCCACAATAAGACGTCCGAGCACTGCAACTAGAGGAAGCCCTCATGTAACAGCGAAGACCTAGTGTAGCCAAATATTAAAAAATAAATTAAAACTTAAAAAAAATTAATTTCCATAAAATCTCCAGATTTCTCCCAATAAAGATTGGACTTGCTCAAACTAGATTTCCATAATGTAACAGTCACTGTCATAATGGCCTCTTGCCTCAGATCCACCTTCACTGACGAGTATTGTCCAGAGAGCTCTAAGTCACCATTTCAGCCAGTGGTATACTTCTCAACCAGATAAGATATAAAGAGAAAACTTGGAGTTTGTGGCTATCTTCATTTCATAGTTTAATAAGGTTTGTTTGTTGGTTTGTTTTTCTGAATTTCCTTGGCGAATGAGACATACCACAAGATGTGATCGAAGGTGATGAATGTCAGAGAGAATTATCAAGGATATCCCAAAGGTATAAGCAGTGAAAAAGGATAGAGGGCTGAGGAAAGTTTTTAGAAGTATCTGGAAGTTGACCGAGGTCCTGGAGAATAGCAGAATTTAGAATACATAGAGATAGAAGGAAGAGAGAAGGAGTATTTAAGGGGAGGAGAGTAAAGCTAGACTGGGGTGAAAGCACAAGGCAAGAATGTAATATGTGACTCCTGGAGGCAGGGCTACGTGAAGGGAAATGGGAAAGGCAGGTGACACGGTTCAGGATGAGATCACAGAAAGTTTTTAATTCTGAGTTCCAGCATCTGTGATTTATTCTAAGCATTAGACGACCATTTCCTGTGGAAGGCACTTCACTGCTCTCTGTTCAGGGTCGATGTGGGCACACAGGAAAAGAAAGAGGGGAAAGAGTTAAGTAGTGAGATGAGCAGAACAGGGGTGAGGTGGAACATACTGCTGACATCCAGCCTTGGGACTGCTCTTAGGGCCAGAGAAAGCATATCAGCTCCTGGGGATGGGCAGACCTTTCTGTAGGAGAGAACCTCGGGCAGAGAGAAGAGGGCGCCTCCAGGCTGCTTTCTCTCTGCCGTCAGCAAACTGTCCTTTCGGTTCCCAAACAACCAAATTCCCATGACTGATTCAACTCAGAGAACTGAAGTTCAACAAATGCTTTGGCTGTTAAGAGAGCTATACAGCCACGGACATTGTGAAACAGCAATAAAATATTTATTGGGCACATAATGAAATCTAACTGTATTTAAAGCAAAACAAAACTGTGTACTCAAGACCACCATGAGCTATCATATAAATTTAGACCTTGACCTGACTCTATAAAAGCTATTAACTTTTCTTGGTCATGGCTAAAGTAAAATTAAAGGTGCTATTTTCACATTAATACCTATAAATACAGCTTTGAAAGTATAAGAATAGGAGAAACGTACATGTCAAGTCTATCTTGACATAGGATTGTATTTTTAAAATTAATGTAATTTAAACAGAATGCTACAGTGTAGTT